TGTTGGATTTGGACGAACGCTCGCTTCGGTAGTCCTCTTCATCAGAACTATCGAGTGGTGTCCTATAAAAGGACATTTTCTACCCGAAGGTAATTAATCAGTCAAATAAACGTTTTCAAAAATCAAATTCTGATTATTCTTGATCAAATTCTTCAGAAAAAAATCGTAACAACGAACTGAAAAGAACAAGCTCAAAACGTAAATATCTCATCGAATTCTCCAACTTAATTGTTCTGTAAAGCTGGCTTCTTATAAGACTGCCGTTTTTGCATATTTCTTGACATGAAAGCGCGATTGGCTGTTACCTAACATATTTGCATACTTCCATCTACCTCTGCAGCGAATTGCATTCTCTTCAATTCTGATTGGCTTCCGGAAATTAGCATTTTCCTCTCCGTGCTTAACTTTTGGAAATAAGTGTATTTAGCATTTGAAGAAACCATACGACAAAATTTGGAAGTTTCAGGGATTGCACCGGACGGCGAAAAGCCTAGCGTCAGCCCTTGGTGGTACTAAGATTTTATTCACATGAACATGAGATTCCTAGATAGTACTTTTATTCCTGAAAAGTAAAAACATTCTTGAGAAAAATAAATTACCATGAATTTTATTGATGTAATGATATACAATAATTCCTGATAAATAAAATGGCCTAAGCGCTGTAGAAAAAAAAGAGATAGAGGGCGCTGCGCCGCCCGTATGTTTAGCTAATTAAGAGTTTTCAGCAGAGAGGTTTGAGAGGTTGATGAGAGTGGTTGAGAGTCACATAAACTAGATACTCTGTAATCTGTATATAATATTTGTACATAGTCTTCTCTTCATTAAATAGATTTAGTTAAAGGAAAGTGTCTTTGTTTGGCCAATAGAACACAAGAACCACCGATAAAGAAGATGTAAGTAAGTTATTACATACTTCAGGTTTTGGTAGCATCAGGCCAGAAGGTGAGTCATTTCATTTTATCTGCATGCAATTTATCTTTGATAATGAGTTTTGAAGAAACTGTCGAGAGAAATAGAAAAATTAGAGGTTCGGTTCGTACCAGTGTAACAAAATTAATAAGGAAATTAGATGAGGAATTGCAAGGCGAGAATCCGAACCTAGAAGTGTTGCAGGAATCACTTTCAGTGTTAATCGAGAGAGAAACTAGCTTGTTAAAATATGATGAAGTTATTAATGCTCAAAGCACTGTTCAGGAATTAGAGACAGAAGTAGAACATTGTTTAGAATACAGCGAATCCATCATTAGATGTAAATCTAAAGTCAATAGATATATTCAAAATGTGGGTAAAACCGGAACAACTTCACAAGTTTCGGAAATCAAAACTAATTATAATACTAAATTGCCTCGCATTACTTTAGAAACTTTCAGCGGCGATTTATGTAAATTTACTGAATTTTGGGCACAGTATAAAGCTGCCATTCACGAAAACAATACGCTTCAAGATGTTGAGAAGTTTAACTATTTAAGATCTTTACTCACCGGTTCAGCTGCAAAAGCTATAAGCGGATTGCCATTAATAGGAGAAAACTATATAAAGGCCATCGAAATCTTAACTCACAGATTTGGGAAAAAAGAAATATTAGCGCGCATATGAACGTTCTCCTAGCTTTAGAGCCAGTACGCCGATCAAGTGATGTATCCAGTTTAAGAAAACTATATGATGAAATAACAGTTCAAACAAATTAAAATAACAGTTCAAAAAAAGTTTAGAGACATTAGATATTAATTTTAATTCTTACGGCAATCTATTACTTCCTATTTTATATAAGTGTATACCGCAAGATTTAGTGTTACAGTTTAGTAGGGAGCAAAAGGTCGACACAGAGTCAACAGTGTCAGATTTATTGTTGTTTCTAAAGAGAGAAGTAGAAGCGCGCGAAAAGTCACTAACTCTGGGTCTTAAACAACAAAACTTTCGATAACCAGTGAAGAAATACCGACAACTATCGTAAGAGTGTTGCTCCAATTAAAAAGAAAATGGTATCAGCGGCGACGCTTAATACATCAGTCGAAAATATATATGTGCGACTTTTGTCTTAAATCTCACCTTTCTAAAGACTGCGACTTAAGTATTTCAGAGAAACACAAAGCATTATACGATCAATTTAAGTGCAAGCGCTGTTTAAAAAAGGGCCACAAAAAACCATTTTGTAAGGCAAAATGGGTTAAATGTAATATTTGCAAATCTTTGTCGCATTTAGAGAGCCTGTGTGATGCAGAAGGGCAAGAAAATAAATCCATTAAAAATACTGCGAGCGCAGCAAAAGAGACAAACGTTAGTTCACTATTCCTCGAAACACTGAGCAAGCAAATTCCTAATGACGTGATTTATTATCAGACATTGAGAGGTCAACTGGTAGGAAATAATTCCACATTTAACGTTAGGTTGTTATGCGATTCAGCTTCCGAAAGATCTTATGTTTGTCAGTCTATTTCCAGAAAAGCAAGTTTACCAACTATTGGTAAAGAAAGATTAAGAATTCATACATTTGCATCTTCGAATCCGCCAGTGCGAGAATTTAAAAGAAAAAGACTTTCTTCTAAAAAATAAGACAGACAGGGTTCACTCTAATCATCGAAGCACTCGAAGTAAAAACCATATGTTCCAATGCATTACCCAAAGGCCATCTGCAGAAATTATAAACAATCTTCGCCAACAAGGATTTCACTTATCTGACAGCTGCGATAGTGAAGTGGCAGAGGTACAGATTTTAATTGGGAATGATTACTTGAACTGCATCTTAACGGGAAAACACATCGGTTAACAGACTATTTAGTACTGCATGAAAGCATATTCGGTTGGACGTTGAGTGGTAGAGTGGGGGGAGAGAGTAAGAGTTAAGTTCAGGGTCAGACTCCACCGGCTTGTTTTATACACATCGATTCGGAAGAGGAATTAAAAATATCGGAACAGATTCGTCAGCTTTGGGAGATTGAAAGTCTAGGAATCTCTGAGTGCGCGTCGGAAAGGGGTTCTGGCGATGAGCGAATAATTAAACAATTTGAAGAGGATTTGAAATATGTAGACGGGAGGTATGAGGCTCGCTTGTTGTGGAATAGGAGTCCAGAGCATTTGGAAAATAATTTTGGTTTAGCGAAAAGGCAGTTCGAAAGGGTGCAGCGAGAGTTAAAAAGTAACAGCTTTGTGAGGGAACAGTTTATGGAAATAATTAAATTTCAGACACAAAACAACATTATTCAAGAGTGTGAGGATACGAGAGAGGGGTACTTTATGCCATTCCGAGCAGTGGTCCGTAAAGATAAAAAAAGCACTCAAGTTCGAATGGTATTTAATTGCAGCAGTTGCGAAAGAGGAAAGCTATCGTTAAACGATTGCTTAGAAAAGGGCCCAAACCTAAATCCGAATATTTTGGATATCATTCTTTCCTTTCGAAAATTTAAAATTGGATTCTGCGGTGACATAGAAAAGGCGTTTTTGATGATTGGGATAGCAAGGGAAGATAGGCAATATTAAAATTTCTCTGGTATCCTGATAATGACAGTGAGGACTTTAAAATTATGCAAATGAACAGAGTATTATTTGGATGTAATTGTTCACCGTTTTTATTGAGTGCAACGATCAAACATCATTTAAAGAAATATGCGGAAACAAACAAAAACTGTGTCGAGATGTTAAATAGCTCACTGTATGCAGACGATTTGTGTTATGGAGGGGAAAGTGTAGAATCAGCTTTCAGTCTTTCATCAGAGGCGGTATCTATTTTGAGAGACGCGAGTTTTAATTTGAGAAAGCTAAACACTAATTCTAAAGAGCTGTATGACTTGTGTGGTTCAAGAAAAGGGTTGTGTGAAGAAAGTAGGTTCTGAGAGAGATAGTAATTTGAAAGTGTTAGGCTTGGTGTGGAACTTAGAAGAGGATGGTTTGAGAGTAGATGTTACATCATTGTTGAGTAGTTTGGAATCGTTGAGAAATAGTAAAAGATCGGTTTTAAGCACAGCAGTTAAGGTGTTTGACCCAGTCGGATTTATTTCTCCATTTGTGGTGCGAGTTAAGAGACTGATGCAGGAAATATGGGAGAGAGGTTTGGAGTGGGATGCAGAGTTGCCAAAGGAGTTACGGTGCAAATGGATAAAGTGGTGCGCTGAAATTGAGGAATTAAACGCGTTGAAAATAGAGAGGTACTACTTTACAGAAGTTCTAAGTAAAGGTCAGTCGGTTGAAATTCATATTTTCAGTGATGCGTCAGTAGTGGCATATGGAGCGGTGGCATATTTTAGATATAAGAATGAGAGAGGAGAGGTATGTACGTCGTTTATAATGTCGAAGAGTAGGATAGCTCCGTTAAAAAAGTTGTCCCTCCCTAGGTTGGAATTGATGGGGGCTGTAATTGCAGCTAGGTTAGGAAAATATTTATTGAAAATGTTTCAGGATTTGGTAGGTAGGTTAGTTCTGTGGACGGACTCCGAAATTTGCTTGTGGTGGATAAAGGGGTCAGCGCGTGAGTGGAAGCAGTTCGTGTCGAATAGAGTTGCAGAAATACAAGACTGTACCTCGCCTGATAAGTGGAAATATTGTCCAGGGTCGGAAAACCCAGCAGATAAATTAACTCGTGGTGAAACAGCAAATGCATTGGTGAAAGATAATAACTGGTGGCATGGTCCATCATGGTTGAAAGATTCTGAAGATCAATGGCCTGAGCAGAAGTTTAAAGTAGAAACTGATTCTCAAATTTGGAACGTTTAAGCACTTATGTTCAAGGTGACTATTCCAGAAGAAGAAAATGCTTCGTTAGACATTACCAAATTCAGCAGTCTCGAAAAATTGTATTGAGAGTTACAGCTTGGGTATAGCGGTTTGTCGCCAAGCTAAGAAAACGTGCCTGTGAAGAAGGTCCTCTTACTGTATTGGAGATCCAAGAAGCTGAGGAGTACTGGATAAAACAAGTACAGAGAGCGAATTACTTTTCGGATATTCAACAACTAGAGAGGAATAATCTAATAACACCAGATTCTAAGCTTTACAGTTTAGCACCATATATGGACAGTAGAGGTATTTTGCGTGTCAGAGGTCGTTTGGAACAAGCAGAATTAATAGATGACGAAAAACATCCCATTATTCTGCCCAAAACGAAGTTCACCGAACTAGTGATATTTAGTGAACACATAAAAGTATTCCATTCAGGAGTCATGGCAACATTGTCCAAAGTCAGGAATAAATTTTGGATACCTAAAGGAAGACAAGTAGTAAAGAAAGTTATTAACACTTGCCTGGTGTGTAAAAAGTTCGCAGTGAAGCCCGCCAAACAGTTAACGGGTCAGTTACCCAGAGATCGTGTAGTCCAAAGTAATCCTTTCACAGTTGTAGGCATCGACTTAACGGGAGCAGTTACTATTAGAGAAAAAGCGGATAACCACAAAAAGGTGTACATAGCCCTTATTTACATGCGCCGTCACTCGTGCTGTACACATTGAAGTGGTTTCAGATATGTCAGCAAAAAGTTTCATTTTTTTCATTACGGAAAAAAAGTTTTTTTAAAGTTTATTTAAAACGTTTTTTTAAAGGAATTTTTTTAGCAAGAAGAGGGAGCTGCAAAGTGATTTATTCAGATAATGCCAAAAATTTCCGCAGCACATGTGAAATAATTAAAGGATTTAAAAGAATCAAAGCAGATCCAAGTGTGAGTGATTTCTTGACATCCAAAGAGGTAACATGGAAATTCATACCTGAGCGTTCCCCATGGTGGGGAGGGTTCTGGGAGCATTTGATGAGAAGCATCAAGGAACCTCTGAAGAAAATCTTAGGGAGAGCATTACTGACTTTCGAAGAGCTCTCTACAATATTAACTGAACTCGAGTGTGTGCTAAATAATAGACCTCTAACATACGAGAGCAACGAGCTGGGTGAACCTCGCCCGCTCATACCTTCACAGTTTTTATTGCCAGGACGTGGTACATTTAACTTTCCCGAGCATTTCTTGGAAAATTTTAACAAGTTATCCGACAAAGAGACTTTAACCAGGAGGAAGCTTTACCAATCTAAGCTCTTAAAATTAACATGGATCAAGTGGAAAGAGCAATATTTACTCCATCTTAGAAATGCGCATAACTTTGCTAATCCTAAAACTGAGCGGAACATTAAGACTGGAGACGTTGTGTTGGTAGAAGGACCAAAACAATCCAAACTACTTTGGGACATGGGTGTAATTGAAAACGTGATTATAGGAAGAGATGGACATGTTCGAGCGTGCTTTGTTCGCACGCCCAAAGGACAATTCAGGAGATCGATCCAGATGTTATATCCTTTCGAGATTTAATTTAGAACTTTTGATATTATTGAGTTTTATTATATTATTAATTATTATGTTCATTTGTGGCTTTGATATATACTAGTATAGATTATTCTTTTATATTATTCATTTATATATGTCATACCATTTAGTATTAATCCATTATTAATTAATGTTGATATTGTTATGTAAGTAAGTTTGTGTACTCTTATTAAAGAGTACAGGTGGGGAGTGATGTAGAAAAAAAAGAGATAGAGGGCGCTGCGCCGCCCGTATGTTTAGCTAATTAAGAGTTTTCAGCAGAGAGGTTTGAGAGGTTGATGAGAGTGGTTGAGAGTCACATAAACTAGATACTCTGTAATCTGTATATAATATTTGTACATAGTCTTCTCTTCATTAAATAGATTTAGTTAAAGGAAAGTGTCTTTGTTTGGCCAATAGAACACAAGAACCACCGATAAAGAAGATGTAAGTAAGTTATTACAAGCGCATTTTGCACTTGAACGCTTTACATATTCAGATCCCATTATCAAGAAGAACCTTCTGTTGTTCTCTCAGAAAATAGTATTCAAGCAAATCTTTCAGATTTTCGCCGGTTTAAATCTTGAATGTTAGATTCGATTATGAAACTATTTGGCAAAGGTAAACAATAGATATATTCCTTATCCACGCACACCAGTATGTGTTTCTTGTTAAAAGACGACACTTAATGCTTGCCAGGGCTTAATTTCTAAAATTTAAAGTGACGGAGCGCTGTGGAACACCACCAGGAAACAGAAACAAGAAGAAATAAATTTAAAAAAAAAAAAAAATCTGAAAGGTTTCAGATTTTAAGTTATGTCCAAAGCGGCGTCGTTTTAACGTTTCGTGTGTTACCTTTATTTATTAAATATGTTCTTTGCACTTAAACCATAAAATTCAGTTCAACAGCAATGCCGCAAAATAATTTTAAAATGAGCATATTTTTAGAATTTCCAATACACAGTTCCACGCGCTGGAGAGAAAAAGGTCCCCCCCCCGTAGAGTGTTGCAATTGCTCGCTTTCAAATCGTTGAGTTTGTTAATCAAAAATTCGTTAAAGTTTTACAAGATATGAAATCGTTAATAAAACAAATTTCAAATTTGGGCTTTCAGATGCCTATATTCGCAGAAGGATTACGTCATTCAAAATTGGATGGCTCTAGGTAACATTGCTTTATCACAATGCAAGAAACATACGTACATTTATTATTTAGCTATTATTTAATTTCTTCAAATGCAATACAGGGCGATAGTATTTGGTAGCAACGATTTTAAGTGATACAACCTTTTAAAGTTTTCAACGCAAAATCGTAAAATTAAAACAGTAGTCCTTGAGGGAGAAAACGCCTTTGGACTAATAAAATAGCTAATAAAGCAATTAAAAATTAAATAATTAATTATTAAAATAATTAAGTATTATTGGTTATAATAATTAAAATTTAATAAAATGTAAAGAAAGAAATAAAAATTAACAAGATATTAAATAAAAATAGTAAATAATAAAATAAAGTACTGGACCGAGGCTTGACACTGTGGCTGGAATTTAAATTTCGCACAAAAAAATTAGAAATAGCTCAACCGGTCTCCATTTGAATTTAAGCTTTGAATATAATGAACTATTTTAAAGGGATGATAGAAATAAAGATCATTCCTTTTTCCAGCATACCAATGAAAAACGTTAAAATGGTTAAAGCGTTACCAGTAAGCCTACAGAGAATGCTAGAAACAGCAATAGAATATAGAGGAAATTTTACCAGATGATCTGTAAATATGAAACCAAAAAGAGAGTCCTGTCCGACCATCTGACCACGAACTCTTGTCAGTATAATTCTAGCTGTCAAGAGGAATATGACACGGAAACAAATTTTCCCCGAATCCGATGGTTAGGTGATAAGCAACAAATGACAATTTTCATCCCTGTCTTTGGTTACATCTTCCCGGAAAGTCTGCAGGTGCTCTTTTCCACGGGAATACACTAGCGTTAGAACGAAAACTTTACACAAGTGTCATAAATTCATTGTCCTTTCAGGAGAATAACCCTTTGACATGTAGGTTGAGACTTTTCTTTCATTAAAAGTCGCCCCATCCGACTAAGGGTTTGTTTCCCAAGGAAAGAGAGGCATGTATTCAGAAGTTACAATTGGCTTTTAACATAATTTTATTATTGTTACGTTTTTTTTCTTCTGACACCAGTTGTTACGTTTTTTTCTTCTGACACCAGTTGTTACGTTTTTTTCTTCCTTCACGTTCGTACGGGGTTTCTGTAGATTTGGAGTGAATAATGACGACAGCACTTAATGAAGTATCAAAACACACATTATTTAGCCACAGGACAGCTCCAAAATCACGTTTTTACAGTCGTCGATAAACTACTATAAACACGCTGACTCGATCAGGGAAACAGCCTTCAGGTTATCAGGCAATAACGGTGGAGACAGCTTCACTGCAAAGCACCAGAGTACAGCTCCCGACTCTGCTCGGTCGTTCTCGGAACCATGTACTCTCGAGACTCTCCACGCTATAACTCGCGATGCACTCGACGACACACAGAGCACAGCTCCCGACTCTTCGGTTCAGTCGTTCCCGGAGCTCAACACGCTCTCTCGACGATGCACTAACCGCGATACACTACGAGACTCTTTCAGTGCACTCGAAGACCCATTCGGCACTCGCTGCTCGGCTGTCAACTCGATCGACTCTGCAGGGATTGACTCGCTAGACGAGACACCAACTACTCGAAACTAACAACTCGCACTCTCGAAGCACACTCTAACTGACTGCGGACCAGCAGGGTTTATATAGCTTTCGGCTTGTGTTCGAGAACACTCTGGGCTAAACCGTAAGAATTCGTTCCAGAAGGTTCTCCATCCGTCCATGGCATATCACGAATTTTGTCGCCAAATGAGCGATTTCTCGCCAAATGTGGCAACCCTAAATCTTCTTTGCGGGGAAGCCATCTTACCGCGCCTGTACATTTCGTAACATTATTAAAAAAATTTCAAGATCAGATTTCTGCTGAATTTGTTGTTCAGTTACATAAAAGAAGTGCCGGAGCTTTCTTATTTAGGACTCCAGTGTGCTGCGGCTATAATTATGATTTGCTCCCAAAACTAAGAAGTACCGGAGCCTGGGTCCGCAGTTTAAGCTCTGATGCTTGCAGCAATAATTTGCGGCATTTGTTTTCTTCGTAATGATAGATTCATTTGCCAAAAATTTCAGTTTCGGCCAATTGCACATATTCTTCACCATTCAAAACTACCACAAATAGGGCGTCATTCTCTGCCCCCCCGAAACAAAATGTTGCTACTACGTTCAGTTCCATGAAATGTGAGAGCGGTTCTTCTGAAGTCAATAATTCATCACAGTAAGTAACGAATTCAAATGTACGAGTACATAAAACACTTTATTAAGTAATATCCACTAATTATACAACTAAACCTCACAAGCAATTCAGAGACACAGAAAAATCACTAAAAACTCATTATGCTACTATTATATAAATTCATTGTGAAATGACGTAATCCATTAACTTGTCTAAATTTATATGGGGTTAAATTTCGAGCTTATTTCCGGAATTCGCGAAGGGTTGAGAATGAACGAGAAATTTCTCAAATGTGCATTTCCAAGAAATCATTTGGGCATTCAGTTCAAGGAAGAGCCAATAAACGGAGATAAGGAGCACAGAGGAGTGAGAGAGCTTGCTAAGCTTCGCCGTCTGTTAATCTTACATTACGATAATTTTGAAATTAGTGGTGGTGAAATAGCGCATAATTAGTGCTAGCAGAAGAACAGAACTAAAGGCACAAAATATAACTTGGCGGATTTCTCTTAAGGATTAAGGATGTAAGTTTTAGTTTTTTTTTATTTTAATTCTATTTGTTCTCTCTCTCTTTTTTTTTTTTTTTTTCTTTTCTTCCCCCCCCGTTGTATTTTTCTGTATATAATGTAACATGAAAAGAAAATCTAGAGAGACAATGCTATGCTGAAATCGTAAGAATACAGGGTCACGTCAATTAAACACTGAGTAAATGACTATAGCTCGCTAGTTTGGAGAGATATCGCCATCAGTTTTGGCAACTAATTCTCGTCGCCAAACTTTGAGTTCATTTGGCGACATTTTGTTCCGATCCCTATATCATCGTAACACTTATCGTAATTGAATAATTGTAATTGATGCTCTATGTAGCTGTAACAGTAATTCGGCACTCATATGCCTTCCAGTAATTTCGAGAAGCAGAAAGTCATCATAATCGAACGTTTGAGCTCGAAGAGTCTAGTTCATGTTTTTTCGCCTCTTACAGCGATTTCAGCCAGACTTGCGTGTAAGTATCTTTATGGTATTAATGGTGACTCTCCACGGCATTACTTAACGGTATCATTTCGAGCAACATGAAAACTAGGAAGAAAGGCAACCAGAGCGCAAAAATGAACGAAGTTCCATCACATCCCTCAGTTTATCCACCAAACTCCCCAATTTGGAGGTTAGAACGTATAAAGTTCTTAGAAACTGATAGAGAGAAATTGTTAAGCGGACACGACAATGATAAAGAACTATCCCCAATGAATCGACGTGTTTTACTCGCTATAAACGAAGAGCTTGAATTACATCAGCAAATTCTTAATATGCCCTTCGGAGATATTATTCCAAGCACTGACTTAACTAATCAAAATTCAGAAATTCAGACTCACGAAAATACGGACGAAAATATTAAGAAAAATACCGAATAAAATTCCACTTCACCTAATAGCCCTTCTAAACACATAAAAACACAGGAAATTCACAAAGGATAAAACTGAATGGCGTTCGCCAACCAAAACCTACCTACAAACCAATCACTAATTTAACTAAGAAATCTGATATACCACCAAAAAAAAAAAAAAAATAGATTTACTACATTTGATACTGAACAGATAAGAACCGAAAATAAATCTTCAAGAAAAATCTCACCAATTGTTATCACTGAAAGAAATCCAGATTGGAAATCCATTCACAAAATGTGCATGGA